AATGGGCCTCTTTCTTCTTTGTTTCCTTTTAGTTTTGGCCCAAATGTCTTATGTCCCTACAAAAAAATTAAATTCAATTAAAATCAAATACTTCGACATAAAATTAATTTCACGAAAATATTTAATTAAAACTTAATTTATTTAGCAATTATGAACAATTTAAGTGCATTTTCTTGCACTTATCAGCTTGCTTCTGTCAAAGTCCCTGAAGGGTATTCATCGAACTTCAACAACTTGGTGATGACCTTGTGAATGGCCTCAATGCACGGTTGGAAGAGTTGAGATTTACTGGCATGAAGACCCATGATTGTCATACTTTGATGAACAACTTTTGCCACTTACTTTATGTGGGATTCTAACAAAATAGGTCTGATTTGGACGTTCTAAATTTTGCTACTTCTTCAACTCCATATGTCTCAAGGTAGTAGATCCAAGGACGATGTATACACTACAATTAGAGTTGGTGATGACATTGTACATGTCAGAGCAGTATATTTCACCATCATTCTTCGACATCATGACTTATCTAACAGTACACTTAGTCCAGAAGTTAGGCTTTACAGGCTAGTGTGCTTGAGGTGGATGTTAAGAATCAAAATAGGCCGGAGGGTTGCGACGTTGAAAGTTATATAACCGAAGACGCCGTAGAATTTCGCTCGAAGTACTTGTCTAATGTAGAAGTAATAGGTTTACCAAAGAGGTAAACATGTAGCTAAAAGAGAAATCCACCACTATTCCTTCCTTAGTTCCTCGCGAAGCATGGGAACAAGCTTGTCTCTACGTTTTCCATAATGCTCATGAGATTTACGTTTTCCATAATGCTCATGAGATTTAACCATACATAGAAGTCCACGAAAAACAAATAAAGGTGACAAACCCAAAAAGAGGGAGAAATGAGAAGTGGTTGCAAGATGATCATAACCAGTCATTTAGCAAGTGGATACAAACACACATTTACTCTAAGATTTGCAACTTAGGAAATATAGGTATGTCAGAAAAATTATTTATGCTAGCCAGAGGACCATCGTTGACGGTAATGAAATACACGACGTATGTTATAAATGGATATACCTTCTATAGGCTGGAAAGAGATTAGAAGCACCCGGTCAAAAATAGTGGTGTTAGTCTTCAGGCTGATGCTATGCATGTTTCGTCTGTAAAAGACAAGCATCCCGTACATGGAACATCAACCTACCATGGTTTTGTGGAGGACATATGGTAACTTGACTGTTACAAATTGCGAGTGACACTTTTTATGTGTAAGTGGGCTGACAATAATTATATGAAGGTTGATATTGACTAAGCTACGGTGATTGACTTTTGAAGATTGGGCTACAATAATGATCCTTTCATTTTGGCAATGCAAGCAAAACTATATGTTGTTGTAATTTATATGAACATTTAATTTATATGTTGTTGTAATATTAATGTATTATTTAATATTTCTAATTTATTTTTTATTTAGAAATTTAATATTTTGTTTTGCGGTTATATTAGTTCTATGAATTGTGGTCAAAAAGCTTATAACATACGGGATTAATAGGCCAACCCGTGAGTCAACAATAGAACATGATGTTTTTTTTTTATTTGGGAAGCAAATATAACGACAGTTTTTCATAAAACTGTCATCTAAAATATGCGTCAACTCTATTTTTGACGAGATTAGATGACAGTTTACACAGAAAATCGTCGTCTGATGTCATTTTTATAGACAAAATAAAAACCGTCGTTATATGCCACAGACATTTAACGGATCACGATTCGATAACGGTTCTCTTAACTGTCGTCTAATCTTTTAATGACGATTATTAACGGTTGTTAAATACCAGATTTCTACTAGTAAAGGACTTAGAAATGGAGTTAATGATATAAGGGTCTGGGAATAAATTGGTAAATTTATGTTAGCTGTGATCCTTCCTTGATACTAGACAGAAAAATGGCTAAGCTAGCTCTTCGTGCTCGAAGTAGGAGGGCTTTCAAAGTTTGGTAAATAAAATTGGATTGGCTTACGTCACATTTCTGTTTTTTTTCTTTTCTTTTTGATACATGGAGAGGGGGGAATGCCACCACTCTCAAGTGGGGTTTAAGGTGACTCGAATCCTCAATCTATAGTTGAGGTAGAGGGCCTTACACCCAACTATGCTACCCTCACTCGTTCACGTTTCCATTATTTTAGTTAGCCCTTTCTGTAGGGTTGATTCTAATTATTACCATTTTGTTCTTGTTTTGTTAGCTATTAAGGCTGTTTTCTATTTTTTTTTTGTATTAATATATTTTTTTATTAATATACTCGAGTGGAGGATTTACTCGTCTCTCCATTTACTTGTTTTTTTAAAGAACCAGGTACAGTAATGTGATTCGTTAAGTAATTACATTATCGTAGAAATATTCCATCATCCAAGAAAAAGAAAGGAAGAGAAAAGAGGCCATAAGAAACATTAATATATTATTAAATAAACAAAAGATCATGGATGAACAAGAAATGAATGGATAGGCTCATCAGCTAACAAGGCAAGAGCAAATGTTATCCCAATAGTAATCGACATATATCTTATCAAAATACACGTATGTAAGCTCCAAAATGCATGCCATGAGTTGTTATAAACAACTCTTATTTCTGGGAAGTGGAAACCTAACATCGACCTATCCATTTTATCATGATCTCATTTCATCAGTTCGGATGACCAGGACTCGGTGGCTTGTAGGATCCAGTAGGGGGCTTCTTGTAAGGAGGGTTTCCGGGGTAGTGACCGTAAGGCGGAGACTTGTGCACTGGTGGGGATACCGGTGGTTTTCCATATGGTGGCTTCACCACTTTAGGTGGATAAGTTGGAGGTTTCGGCTTTGGTAATTCGGGCTTGGGCTTAGGCTTAGGCTTAGGCTTCTCTCCATAAGGAGGACTTTTATAAACCGGGGTTGGGGGCGGTGTTGGTTTCTCTACTTTTGGAGGTTTCGTGTAAACGGGGGTTGGTGGTGGCTTAGGCTTCTCTCCATGATGTGGAGGTTTCGAATACACCGGGGTTGGGGGTGGCTTAGGCTTCTCTACTTGTGGAGGTTTGTAAACCGGAGTTGGGGGCGGCTTAGGCTTCTCTCCATGGTGTGGAGGTTTCGTATACACCGGGGTTGGTGGCGGCTTAGGCTTCTCGCCATGGTGTGGAGGTTTTGCATACACAGGGGTTGGTGGTGTCTTCACGACCGGAGGTGACTTGTAATGTGGAGCCTCCGGCTTATGCTCATGCTCTGGGGGCTTATAGTAATTGGCAAGAGTTTGAGTGGTGAGAAGTACTCCAAGGAGTAAGATGAGCAAATTAGAGGAAGACATTTTTTATGGGACTAACTTGTTGCTTTTGGAGTGGTGAAGTCTAATGTTTGGGAAATGGTCTTTTTATAGTGGTGTGAGGGACCGGGATGGTGGAAGGAGTAAAATTAATTCAGTAGTTTATACAATATAAGACAAGGACGGTGTTTTTTGACAATTTGCATAAAATAAAGTGTTAGGTGAATATGGGTCCCAAACTTGAAATTTTTAAGATTGTTAGGCGTCGGTGTTTGACAATGTACATTGTTATTTTATTTTATTACGAAGATCTGAATAATTTCGTCCCTTTGGTTTATTCACTTTGATAAAAACATATATATATGTAAATTTATTTGGCCGCTTCTGATCATTATAATCAAAGAATAAACCATACATAGCCTATTAACATATATATGTTAATTCATACGTGTATATAAACGCGTGAATGACATATAGCTAAAGAAGTGCATCAATAGAGAAAAGATGACAGAACAATGATATACATTAGTCTAATTCTTCCCCTTCCACGCTTTTGACTATCATAATTAAGTTATAAGTGATTGGTTGGAGGAATTATATTTATATGTTTCTTTCCTTCCTTGTTGAATGATTCTTCACGTCTTTATATATATATATATATATGTAGAATGATTCTTCACGTAGTTATTTTATTTTTTTACCTCATTTTTCCACGAAATAATTTGATACACGATCTGGTCTATGTACATTTTATTTTTATTGATGGACCAACATTACTTTCATGTAATTTCCACCAAAAACAGTATTATTTACTTCACTTTAAAGTTTAAATTATGAGTTTTGCCAACATTTGCTAGTTTGCAGAAATGCGGTTTCTCAATAGCATCTTTGTTATTTTTTATTTTTTGCATAGGGTTGATTATTGAGTTTTTTGGACTGTTGGCTTGCGATTTCAGATCGTGAGATAGAGTTGGCAGAGAGCAGCCAACATAATTGAAATGTTTCAGTTCTCTTATGAGTATATGGTTATCACCTAATTCATTTCAAGAGGAAAAAAAAAACCTTGCAATTTCAGAATCATGATTTTAAATTGTAAATTTATTTCTAGAGCTTTAAAGCAGGATTTTATTCCTCAGATGACGTCCCCCTTGTATTTTGGGGTTACTTCATTTTGGACAATTCGCAATACTCGTAACAATTAAGCTATTTTTATTTTTCAATGGTTCAGTTACTTTATTGTGGACTACTTGGAATACTTTTAGGCTTATTCTTTTTACAACTCAAGTTCCATTGCTATAGTGTTTTCTCTCACAAAAATTTAAATTAACATTTTTTGTTATTGTAATTTTCTCTCATATATACAACTCAAATTCTTAACTTCAGTTGTGAAACAAACATACATGTTTGGCAATTTGCTTTATACATGCATACATAATATATATTATTTTGTTTTATTAGGAAGATCTGAATAACTTCATTCCTTTAGTTTATTTACTTTGATAAAAAAATGTGTAATTTCATTTGAATCCCTTGTGATTATAATCAAATTTAAATGGTACGGCCCAATAATATGTAACCATATCTCTAATGTAAATGTTAAAATCAGTTGCATATTTAGGCACCAAAAAATGTGATAACGATACATTTAATATGCTATTTTCATTTTATGTGTTTTAACGCGTAATGCTATTTCAAATACTAAATCTACTTTTTGTTCTAATCATAAAGGTTTTGTAAGTTGTAAAAGTAAACCTAATTTTAGTTTTAAAAAATTTAAAAATGCAAAAGTTGCAATAATTAAATGAAAGGTTAAAACATAGCAACCAATAACAATAAAATGCCAAAATTTGTCAATGCTATATTTGGTTACAAATTTGTCACCAAGTATAATATATATAGTAAGTTTGACATAAAGAATAGCATTGCATTGGAGAATGATTTTCCTATTTAAATACTAAAATTTAGCATTGACACACTTATTTTCCATTGCATTGGAGATGCTCTAAATGTTGATTCCAATTCCAACATGTATGTCGTGTACGTATGCGCACATTTGTGTTTGTGAGTGCATAGGAATATTATTATTGTTAGTACTTGAACTTTGTGTGTTATTTGGTCCCTGAACTTTTTTATTTTGTAGTTTTCATCCCTAACACTAAAATGGACAATCATTTCTGAAGTTTTTAACAACGGTAATCATGTTTCCATTGCATGAGAACTTGAGATTTAAAAAACAGTTATATTAGTTTCGAAATGTTCTTTTCACCGCAGTTAAAACCAATTGGGAATCAGAACACGTTGCATTTGATGTAATTATTTATGTAAAGGTTTCAGTTATTATGCAATAGAAATATGATTGTCTATGCTAAATTTCAGAAATTCATTGTCAATTTTAGTTTCAGAGAATTAAATTGTCAACAAATAAAAGCTTAGGGACTAATATGTTAAAATGAAACATTCAAATATTAAAATATCGCTATGCTCAAAATCAAAAAGTCAACAGATCTAATAACCCAGATATGTGTAAACATATACATACATATATACGTGTGTGTATATATATATATATATATTTAGAGTAATGCTAGGGATACCAATGCAAATCTCAAGTCTTGTGTGTCAACTAATGTCGCATGTGAGTTGTCATCTTTTTATTAGTAGATGTAATCTCTTATCATTAATTGACATCACTAGTATAAAAAGGAGAAAAGATGATGGTTAAAAACCGACGCCAAAAAGATAAAATGACGGTTTAAAAATGTCATTAAAAATCGATAGTTGTTGTATGTCTTTAACGTACAACGACAATTTTTAACCATCGTCTAATATGCACGTTAAATACAGTACAAGCACTACAAGAAGCAGGGTTATTAGTGACAATAAAAAGTCGTTGCAACAAATTCAAAGTCATCGCAATGAATTTTTAGCGACCACTTGTCATCGCAAAACTGTCGCCGCAATTGATTCGTCGCAAAAACAATTTTTGCGACGATAAATAGTCATCGCAATTATATTTACGACGATAATTGTCGCAAATGAGTCACTGCAATTACTTCATCGGTTACATCATTAAGATGACATGGCATTAAGTATTTGTGATGACATTTTGTGACTTAAGTCGTCGTAAAAGATGCAGAATTAACTGACGTGGCTTATATTTTTTGCAACCACATTTGTCGTCGCAAATAATATTTTTATTATTTACTTATTTTTTACTCATTTTAATAATTAATGTTGTATATTACTATATATTTAAATCTAATATTAAATATAATTCTTGATATTATAATAATAAAGAAGAATTAAATAAAAGGAAAGGAATAATAAAAAATAAAAATAAAAATTATTATTGTAAAAAGTAATTAATAAAATAAAATAAAAATGTAATTATAGTAGAATTGTCCAGAAATAAAAATTCTTACATTAATAAAAATCTAATCTCCTAAATTAGCAGCATCACTAGAATCATCATCCTTGTCATCGGAAGGATTCGGAGGCGGATGACCTAAACAGATATATGGCATAGGAGGAGTAACTGCTGGGAAAGTCATGTTGGAGTGCATTTGAGTGATGAAGTCTTGCATCATTCCGACACTCTCGTACAACTGGAGATTTTGCTGGTAACACAGTTGTAAGTATTCTTCTACGTGTGAGTCAAAACGTGTCGTAGAAGATCTTGCCGAGCGTGAGCAAGATGACGACGCATCCCCTCGATAAACCTTTTATGGGAGTGTGCGACCTACTCTAGTCTTGTGTCCTCTACGGGTGCCTAGAAACTGCTCCATAATATCATCCTCA